TAAGTGCAGCTGGATCACAAGCAGGATCTTAGTGTTAAACTGTTCATGTAGTTTTTATTTTTGTGAACGACATGGAAGTGCTGAGTCTTAAATATATAGTCGTGTTGTGTCTGTCCACACTGATACAGGGCACAGGTGACATTGTTAATGTATATGATTTTACATGCATAAAACCCCGTGATGAATAGCAGAATAAGCTTACAGATGGGAGTTGTATTCATTGGAAACGATAAAAAAGGCTGAACTATTCTATTCCTTTTTAGGCTTAGCAGAAAGAAGGCACTCACACAAACCATAGGAGGGTGATTGCAGGTGTCTTGTTCTTTCTCTGTGGCAAGAACATCTTGTAACTTGAGCAGGGGAGGAAGACTTGCATGGGAATGATGTTTCCAGCTTTGTATTTTACTTCATGTGTGAACTCTGGGCAAAGTTGTTAATTGTCCCTTTTCAGGCTGTGGTTCTGCAGCCCCAGTCTCGACTGTCACTGTCCAGTCTTGCTCCCTTCCTTGTGTTGGACCTAGTGTAGTCTTAGCCATTTGGTAATGTGTGTCAGTTCTCTCAAGCTGGCAGAAGGAAAGCATAGCAATCCTGTATCTAGAACTCCAACAGACCCCCAAATCCTTCCAGCCAGCTTAGCTGATCCACTTGGTGAGGGTCCCAGCACGGGGAGTGGGATTGCTTGCTGGATATATGCCAGCTCTGTATAAGCACTGATCCCAGCTGGCTGCAGTCACAGACTACCACAAACCCATGTCCTGCCTTGGGCAGGGGCAGTGTGTGCTTCCAGTGAAATTCTGTGACCTTTTTTGAGGTCTGGGATGAATAGAACAAATTCAGTCCATTGCTACCTGGCAATGCCAGTGCAACATGGGATACGCTGTCGTGGGCTTTATGAAGTCTTGTGTGCCCACTGATGTGAGCTCCTTTTTTAAACTATTGGTGACAGAGTGCCTGTTATTTGCCTCAAACAGCCTATTTTGGTGGCTGAAGCTTGAACAGAACATAATGTAACTGAGACTTTAATCATTGCCAGTTATTTGAAGAGCTGAAGTGTCATGAACTGTTTTCTTTGTTACTTAGCAGTGGAAATTACTTCTTTTACATTACAAACTACCAGGCACTTAGGATTTGTATTTTACTTCTATTAAGCTTTGACTGGAAGTCAAATGGGTAAAATGTGGAACGTTGCTAAGACGATAATTAACTTTGTAAGTGGAAACTGGGTCATTTGTACAGTTCCATAGCAAATGGCATCCTGAAAGTGTTCCAGGATGGATAGATGATGTTAAGCACTACAGTGACTTAGTGTGAGCCTGCCTAAGCTCCAAGAAGGAAAGTGTTAGTGGACCACAACAGTGTGCTTTAGGCAAGGTGCTTGGAGATTCTTCCCCCAGTCTTGTGATGGAATTATCATAAAATAAGCACAAAGTGGCGTTCAACAGATCTTGTTCTCATAGTGCTTCTGCACAACTTTGAAAATCAATAGTAGGAAAATACATCTGCTGCAAAGGCATGTGCAGTTGGTTCACAGTGTTTGCATTGACCTGTGAGGATTGCATGTCTCTTTGTAAAATGATTTGTAAAAGCAGATTTTCCTAGAGATGTGCTTATTCCGAGTGCAACAGGAAAAGCTGTGTGCAAGGGAGATTCAGTGCAGGGTTCTGGAGCTCCAGCATTAGCAGCGTTTGGTCTTCGTGCTCAGCTGCCCAAACTGGGGATTTAACAGCAGGCTGTTTGTTCCCAGATGGAACCTGACGGGCCTGATGAAAACCAGGTGTGGTGGCGTGGCTTTGGCACGAGTGGCAGGTGAAGAGTGGAGTTCCCAAGCATTGTGGTGTACTCTTTAATGGGGGCATCTTTAATAAGTCTGGTTGCCTTCTTTTCAGCTGGAAGAGTAACTCCTATACAGTTGACTCTGTGTAATTTGTATACAGATGAGGCACAGTAGACACTTATTTGCATATTCATTAACATGAGAATGCTTTGGAGGGGATGCCAGCAAAGCAGTTGAAAGGCACAATCCTTTGAGTTCACTTCATACCAGTTTCCCTCCTGTTTGATGTGGACTCGAAGGGTTCCAGGGAAGTGGACTGCAGGGTTCAGTTTCAGATTTCACCGTAACAGATGCCCTTCCAAGTGAAATTGTGGTAAGAGTGGGATGCTTGCAGCCACCGGATAATACTCACACATTGGGCTCTTGAGAGTAAACCTGAAAATAATTATCTGTAACTAGAGGTGATGTGAGTTTTGTCTGAACTACAAGGGCTGGTGGCATTCTGCTCGTTTGTGGGGGTGAAAGCACATACTGTCCAGCCAGAGCTGTGTTAGTGTGCACACACGTGAATTTGGAGCTATGGATGCATTTGAAGGAAGAGGCAGCTCGAGGCTCCCAGTGCCATAGGGTTTTTTTCCCTTATTTAAGTGGAATTCCTCTCTCTGTATTTCCTTTGAGATCAAGTCTGAGTTGTCTGACCTTTTCTAGTCATTTTCTGTACCTTTTTAGCTCTGTGTGGCTTCTGTTTAAGTCATCACCCATAGTGTATGTCCTTGTGTTCTTCTGCAGTTGTTTACTACTAATACTTCCAATAGTTGGGGTTTTTCTGTATTTTACCCAAATATTCACAGAAGGCCTTTGCTGATTTTTCTAGCCCACAGTCCTCTTTCTTCTCATTGCCATTGAGAATGGTGAGGTGGTTACAAGGTCTTCTTTCTTCCTAACTGCTGTAGAGACTGCCCGGAGGAGCAGCAAATTTGTAGAGATAGGAGGGTGTGGGAGTACTCTTTTATTTGAGAGAAAGGGTACAGCCACCTCCCTTAGTTAAGACTTTTACCCCACAACTTGGAAATACTGAGACCTAAGTGAAGCTTGAACCTCTATGGATTTTGTATGTTTAGAGACAAAATGTGACAATCAACATGGGAGAAGGAGCAGAGATGCAAATGAGAAGAAAATGTAGGGTACAATGTAGGTGATAAGGGAACAGACTGACAGTTGTCAAGTAAATGAGAGTCCTTATTTAGAAAGAAGGATACATGAAAGAAAGTATGGGAGAAAAGCCTTGCTACAACAAAATTGCTAGTCCAGCGAAATACACCTGTTGATTATGGCACGGCAGAGTTAATGCTGCTAAAACTCCATGGGGCTTCAGTGGAGAATGGCACTTTAGACTTGAAGTATAGTTCACTGTAGAACATTTCCAAGAGATTTGTGTCAAATGGTGCTTTTTGATATGGGTCAGATGATCAAAACATGCTGTTCTCGGGAGCTTTATTCATTCTAAGCAATATAAATGCCAGGTTGGTTGGGTTTTAACTCAGTGGGTTCTGTTGTCTTGGGATGTAGTCAAGTATGAATCTGGGGGAAAAAGGCAATTCTGTGTAAGTTAGTATTATAATTAAGTGTGTAGGGGGTAAGTCCAATAAACTTGGCAATCTTGTAATTGTCTTAAATAAAGTTTGTGTGTGAAACCTGATGATAAACTTTGACAGTACTTACTTTCTGATTTCCTAATTTTGCAAAAGTGGCTCTCTTGCTTCTCGTGTACTAAGAGCTGCTAAAACTCTTGGCACAGAGCTGGTGTCAGTGTTACTTTAAAAAGCAAACTATTTGTGCTTTATGCAGTCACCTAACATAGGCTTATCAGTGAGCTGTACTAATAAACTCTGATTCCTGCCAGAAGCATTCTGTAACTAAGGTAGTAATGTGCAATTAGACTTTCTTGTGTCCTAAATTTGTTTACAAAACTTCCTTAAACTGTGTTAAAGTGCTTAACACCCTGCTCTTTTGGGTAAGAAGCATCTCTAAGTATCAGCTATTAGCAGTTAATAAGAAGGTCTGGTTTCAGTGTGCCTTTCTGTCCTGCTGAGGAAGACTGTGTGTAGTGAAAAATGGTGCTTGCAGGTAGCATCATAGAATATCCTGAGTTGGCAGGGACACACAAGCATCATCAAAGTGCAGCTCTTGGCCCGACACAGGACATCCCCGAGGGTCCCACCCTGTGCCTGAGGGCGTTGTCGAATGCTCCTGGAGCTCTGTCAGGTGAACTCTGCCCTGGGGAGCTGTGCCCAGCCACCCTTTGGGAGAAGGACCTTTTCCTGATAGCCAACCTAAACCTCCCCTGGGAAGTGATAAATCTGCAAATCTATGCAGAAAATCAGATGCTTGAAGATACTGACGTTTAAATACAGGGTTTTTTATTCTAAAATGCTAGAAAAATAGTTGTGAACAGCATTCCTGTGAGGCACTTAGGAACCATCTTCAATGCTGTTTTATTTTCCTTAGTGTTTATGTACAAGGGTCTTTTTAAAGTTGCAGTTTGGTTTTACTCCTGCCAGTGATGCTGCTCTAGGTGTCTTCTTGGTATGTGAATACATCATTCAGAAATGGCTGGACTTGTCACAGGCAGCAAGTAAGCAAATCAAGAAATGTGGTCTAGCTGTAGAGTCTTCTGCCACTTCTTTCCATAGAGATTGGGCTGCTGATGATCCATTTAGTGCTGGGAAAAGACTGGAATCCCAGGCTTGAAACACCAGTAGGGATAGACCATAAATATTTGCTTCCCTTGGCTAGAGGCTTCATGAGCAGAACGGGCAGGAGCCAAGGTGCATAGCTTGTGCCTGGATGACAGGTTATTGATGGATGGTGTGAGGGGAGAAGCCCAGCACGTGGGAACTCCTGCTGCGAGTTGTGGGTCTGCACACCATGGGGGAGCTCCAGGCCATGGAAATATTTTGAAAGCATGCTCCACAACAGGGAATGTTTCATTCCTGAGGCATTCTCTAGCTGATTGAGGTTGGGATGCTTTAAATTTTATTTCTGCAGTGGTTCTCTCCTGCTTGTGGCTATGGTTTGAATGTTGATGAGTAGGTGAATTGCTGTTTTTTCCTTCTGTTACTTCTAATACT